ATTCTCCCTGATTTAAAATGCAAGCCCACCCTCCCCAAAACTAATAATCCTCTTCTGAATAAAAAAAAAAAAAAGAATGAAAAAACAAAATGTCTTTCATAAAAGCACTAAGCACTGGATAACATGTATAAAACCTGAAGATGCTGCCAATCTCAACCAAAAGGAAAATCTTTGGACTTCTAATACCTTATAGCCTCTTAAGACGGTGCTCTAGAAAAACTTTTACCATTTCCTTGGTGATCTAATACATATCATTTATCTCATCAGAGTTATAAGGCTTCAAAGAATAATATCTTCAATAAAATTAAAAATCCCATGTCTCTAAGTAAAGACCCCAGGTCACTGGAACAGTCAAAGCTTTCATGAAAACAAATGCAATATTCATGTTACTTTAATCCTTTAATTTCTTTTTAAAAAAGGAGGAGGGAGTATGTCAAGGTTGCTTCATCAAGTCAAAACCTTCAGTATGTCTTAGTTCCTACTTCATTGTAAGTTTTTCTTTACTCTGCTGTTTCATATTTGATAAAAAAATATTTGATATTACTCATGAGTTACTTATTAAACTGTTAGTTCCTACTTCATTGTAAGTTTTTCTTTACTCTGCTGTTTCATATTTGATAAAAAAATATTTGATATTAGTCATGAGTTAGTTATTAAATTGCCCTCAAGTCCCCTGATTTTTCTCTGGCAATGTTAAATTAATAAAATAAATCTTATATGGAAGTAGCAACTCCTTATCTGCAAGCTCAACATCTATTCTGATTGAGGACAAACAATTTTTTAGGAAAAAGTTTTGTCAAGCATGAATATTTAACAAGTAGAAGCAATCTGCATAAAGCTTCCAGATTTGAATCCACTATGGCTCTCCTTCCTGGCCACTCTGCAACAGCAACAACGAAAGTCTGAAAAACTATTGTATCTTCCCTGCACAGTAAACACTCATCTTTCCTTCTTTTGAACAAATTATTTAGAAGATGAAGGGAAATCTCACCACCTGATTCAGCAGAACTGTGATCTTCAAAGCTTTACTGTTCTTATGCTAAAATTGTCTGACCGAAGAAGTGCTAACTACTTCTTTATGTAAAGTATGTAAACATACTTTAAGGCTTTTTTCCATTTGCTTCCTTCTACATAACCAAGTTCTACAAGGTTCCTCTGGTCCTCTGGTTTAAAAACTGGTGAAAAAAATAACCTTTTATTTTATAAAGAAAATTAGTCAAGAGTAAATTCCTCCTTTAAAACAAAGAATCAAGACTCCTAAACTTATTTGCTGATCTAGAAGGCAAAGAACAAGCCAACAAAATCATACCATTACAAGACAGAAATTTATTTTTCCTCATTTTCATCATTTAAACATTTTGCAGATACACAATGGTGCTCAGTTACTAAAATAGCTTTATCACTTAGTTTATCTTGTTCCATGCATATGACAGTGTCCTTTTCTCTAATGATTTGTCTGGTTTCACTTCTTCGTTTTTTACATTGATGTGCATCTTCTCTATTCTTAATTTACAGCCATTTAGCAGAATGTTTTTTTAAGGCCAGGGTTGTAGGTCCTTGGTTGTGATTCTCAGTGTCTGCTGACACTGTACCCCAGCATTTCTGGCTGTCAAATTTGGGGTCTCAATTTCTTCATTTTGTTCTTAATCAACGCCAACACAGAACAAAATATATTTAAACCACATAAAGTGGGTTTGTACCTCCAAGAAAATTAGAACGTTTTGATTGTCTTCAAATTTTTCCATTAATTATCCCCAGATTTACTTATGGGTGCCATGACTAGAAGCCAGTCTGCCTCACTGTCAAAGTTTCAACTGGGAGAGAGTTGACTTTTTTACTAGCAGCTGGTATAGCGCTATGAGAATGGGACGAGTAAAAGTTCTGCAATGAAGCAAAACAAGGAATCCATTCACTGCTTCCCATCAGCAGGCAGGTGTTCGGCCATCTCCAGGAAAGCAGGGCTCCATCACGCACAACGGTTGTTTGGTAGGACAAACAGCCTACCTCCAAACATCCCCCACTTCTTTCTTCTCCCTCCAGCTTTATACAGCTGAGCATGATATCAGATGCAAAGCATTTGATGCTGTCCCGCATGACATACTTATCTCTAAATTGGAGACATGGATGTGACAGATGGACCACACGGTGGATAAGGAACTGGCTGGAAGGCCACACTCCAAGAGTTGCCATCAAAGGCTTGATGTCCAAGTGGCAATCAGTGACAAGTGGCATCCCTCAGGGGTCAGTATTTGGAACGGTCCTGTTTAACATCTTTGTCAGTGACATGGATGGTGAGATTGAGTGCACCCTCAGCAAGTCTGTCTGGCTGGTGAGACTCTGGAACAGGTTGCCCAGAGAAGCTGTGGCTGCCCCATCACTGAAAGTGTTCAAAGCCAGGGTGGATGGAGCATAGGGCTCGAGAAGACTTTGGCATGGCAAGCCAGGAAAATTCACCAGGAGAAGAGAGGGATTTTGGAGAGACCTTACAGCAGCTTTCCAGTGCCTAAAGAGGACCTACAGGAAAGGTGGAGACAGACTCTCAGGGAGTGTAATGATAGGACAAGGGGTAATGGTTTTAAACTGAAAGAGGGCAGATTTAGGTATTAGGAAGACTGAGTGCACCCTCAGCAAGTCTGTCTGGGTGGTGAGACACTGGAACAGGTTGCCCAGAGAAGCTGTGGCCGCCCCATCCTTGGAAGTGTTCAAAGCCAGGATGGATGGGGCCTTGAGCAACCTGGTCTAGTGGAAGGCATCCCTGCCCATGGCAGGGGGGTTGGAACTAAAAAAATCTTTAAGGTCCCTTCCAACTCAAACCATTCTATGATTCTATGTCATGGAATATCCCTTTGCTCAGTTGGGGTCAGCTGTCCCAGTTCTATCCCCTCACAACCACTCCCAGCCTATTCGATAGTGGAGCAGAAAAGGCCTTGATTGCTTCGTAACAACCAAAACCACCAGTGTGCTATCAACATTATTTCTCTTCCAAATCCAAAAAATAGCACTATACCAGCTGCTCATAGGAAGTCAGCTCTATCTCAGCTGAAATCATGACACTCACCTATTTGCAGAAGACTCCACTGACCCTTTGTGATCTTTCACTTTCAATTTTGCAGACTTACAGTATTAGTGAAAGAAAATCCATTCTAATACTATGCTTAATTTCTTTGTTTTGGTTGAAATGAGTAGAGCAAATCTCTTTAAATTAACTTACAGCAGAATAAAATTAAATTTTAATATTAGTTTCTCTGACAATTACTAGTGTGATACGAGACTAAAAATGTAAAAAAAAAACCAGAGAAGTAAAACTAAAAATATATTTTCTCACACATAGATTATTTCCTCCGGTGATAAATCAACAAAGACAAACTAAGAGAAGAGAGATTTTGTTAAAAACAAGTCAGGCTTCCCTTTCCTAGTATTATGCTCCAAAGTAATGCATTAGTCAGAAAGAAATCTCTCTTTCTTGACATAACAGTACCGCTCTTAAAGCTCATTTTATGTGTCTGATACCAAAATTGCCTCATATTGGGCCAGGGATGGTTTAGGATGGATATTGGGAAAAGTTCTTGACAGAAAGGGTTACATATTTTACATTGGAACAGGCTGCCCAGGGAAGTGGTTGGGTCACCATCCGTGGAGGTATTTAAAAGTCGGGTAGACATGGTGCTCAGGGACATGGTTTAGTGATGGTTCTGGCGGTGTTAGGTTGGTGGTTGGGCTTGATGATCTTAAAGGTCCCTTTCAACTTAGATGATTCTAGGATTCTATGAATTATTCTCAGCTTGAATTTAGCTTTGAATTCAGCTACTTATCTTTTTGCTGTAGAGAAGAGCTTGAGTGCCTGAAGGTTTATCGGTATAGTAAAATTGAAAACTGACATCTTAACACTTGATGTTTGCATTCAAAAGAAGTAAACAAGCTATATACAAAGTAAAATCATTCTGGTTTTGCTAGAAATGTAAGCAACACAGTGTACAATAATGGCTTAGCATCAAAAAACTTTTTGTGTAACTGATTAGGTAGGAATTTAATAATTCTGTTTAAGGCTGGAAATGGGGTTTGTTTCCACAGAGTTGATTTTTAAACTTCCATGATATGCTATTTTACTTCAAATTCTACAGGTTTTTTTAGTGGTGGTGGTGGGAGGGGCGGGGGGTGGCGTTTTTGTTTTGGTTTGGTTTTGGGTTTTGTTTTTTTGCTATTCAGGACAAAAAAAAATATACAGCAATATCAAATTCCAACACCTGAATGAAATAAAAATATGTCACCAAGAAACAGGTGAATTTAGAGACTCTTCCTCCAAATATTCCAGCATCAGAGACTACAAAATTCAACTTCTGCAATAGTAATTCCTACAACTGTTAAAAGCAACGTTGGGAATGCCCTTCTCAACTTGTCTTAAGAGACGTACAACTATCCTTATAGAAGCACCTCTCTAAAAATTAACTGCTTCATTACAGGTTTAAGTTTCCAATTTTCATAACCCTCTCTTTATTTTTTACCTATTCTGGTTTTTGTCCTAGAAAAAAACCTTTATACTGAGAGAGACAGTGGAATTCCAGTATAATAAGGAACAAATGTAACATCTCTTCTCTTCCATAGCTATAAAAAAAGTCACCTAAACTGACTTTTCCATAACATACAACATAAATGCCAGTATCTGAGCTAGTCATCTTGGGCTCCTTTTGAAGTCAGTGGACAAAACCAGGCACTTGCAGAGCATGATTCTTCTCATTTCAATATATGTACCTGAAAAGGTCGCAGGAATTTTGTTCTGAATGTGCCAGCTTCTCTCCATACCCATAGTCTAGACGAAGATAAACTAACAAGATCGCTGTGCATTGCAAGTATCCACTACTTGCAGTGATCAATGATAGATGCCATAAGAAAATCTACCGCAACATTAGGGAAACATTCAATAGGAAAAAATGATAGAAAATAGAAATAGAAAATAGAAAAAATATACAAAGCAGGTCCATGGAAGGGTAAAATATACTAACTTGATTATGCTTTCTTTGCTCTTGCATGGCTTCATGAACAGCCTGGGCAATCTTCTCTTTATGTCTGTCACGTTCTGCTTCCCACATTTTTCTTTCTTCTGCATGAATCTTCTCCATATTTCTCCTTTCCTCCTCTACTGCTTTCAGAACAGCCTCCTGCACTACTTCTTTTTCAACCTTTGAAACAAATCAAGTACAAATAAACAACTAATATACCTAACATGGGTGCCTAACTCATACATATTGCTTCTTCTAAGGAGATCTATGAGCTGACGAGATACAGGATATGAATATTTTCACTTCTGAACTATGTGCTTGAATTTATCTTAAGGTGCAACCAAGCAGGTATTACCACTGGACATTAACTTCGCAGTTACAGAAAGAAAAAGAAAGTTACAAGCAAGGATCATGTATTGTGTTTTCAGTAGGTAGGAAATTATCATAGCTGATTTGCTTAAAGCCAACACAAAAAACATACAGCAGAAGCCATGTAAGAGCAGGTAGAACATGGGCCTCCCTACACTACTTGATATTCCCATATATGAGATATTCCTGCCCTTATCCACAGGTATATGAAGTCCAAACACAGTCTGAGAGTTTTCTGTGGCAAAGCCGCCAACACATACTTGAAACAAATGCGTCTTCCCTCTCAAAGCTCCTTAGCCATGCATTCTACAAGAAGTACTCTTTAATCTTTTTTTTCCCCAAAGTGTATATTCAACCATTCCATGAAATCATCAGAAGACACACACTGAATTTGAGGTAACAAGGACAGCTCTACACATGCTGAGCCACATAAATATATTTATCGGCAAGACATCATTAGCATAATATCTACAAATAAATAATGGCAGGCTCAAGTTCAACATAAAGAAACACAGGCTGACACACCCCTCCACCCTCACCTCCCAGTTTCAATAAGCTCACAGGTGATTCCAATGCTCTTTGATGGTGATTATGGAACTGGTCAATTGAAGGTATAAATGGCAAAAAATACTGGGTTCCTCAAATAACTACACTTATAAATAAGGCTGGTTCTTCCAATTCATTGGGACGTGTTTGGTTGTTTTTTTTTTTAGCTGGACATTTATAAAATATAATAAAAATATACATTAAAAAATCAAGATGCATTGATGTTGTTAAATGAGAATCTGTGAAACCAGATATTTAGGTAACACTAACAATTGAACTGCAATATTGTTTTTATGAATTAATTCAGAGGCTATCTTAGGTAGAAGTTGCATAGACTATCTGTATTAAGGCATAGGATATAGCAGATATGTTGATGAACTAGCCTCTTTTAAACACAGAGGAGAACATAGAGTTTGACCAATTTAGTTCTGAAAAAAGAATGAGTTGCTGAACTTGGCATTTGTAATGACACACATAGAATCCACATTGCATGTCTTAACAAGAGATTGTCTCTCTTAACAAAAGATACCTTGGCAGCAGCTGCCAGAGCCTCCTTACTTCTTTGTCTTTCTTCATCCAAACATTGGTCAAGCACTTCCTGTAAATGATACAAAAAGCAAGAACTGGAGTGCCTAAAAACCATTTCAAACAGTCCAAGTGCTTGAGAAAGCTTCCTCTTCCTGTCAATGATTGTGACAGGATCATTCCCAATCAGCTCCATGGTGAAGATCACACCCCTGTGGGTTTTTTTATATAAATAAAAGCAATACCTTGTGTTTTTTTGACTGCTGCATCAAAGCTTCTTCTATTTTTTCTGAGAACACTTCCTTCTCTGCTTCCAAAATGTTGAGAAGTCGCTGATGCTGTTGAGACAAAACATCCATATTACTGTAACCAGAGCCTGCTACTAAGGACACTTAGGTTTGTCAGTTGCTTACAAAATGACTTAAAATGTAAATTCAGTTAAATGACATACACAGGATTACTTTAATTGATTTCAGACATGAAAAAAAAAATTAACACTAATAAGATATGTCTAGCTTCCTATCTAATAACAATTCTGAGTCTGAAGAGTATTAGGAAAGAATTTAAAAAAAAAAACCATCACCATTTAAAAGCAACACTTAGAAAATTTATAAAGACGGTCTAAGTAACACCACACTTTAAACACTTCATTTAAACATCTGCAGAATTTAAATGATACTTGTAGTACCCCTGAGTTATACATATAGAGGACAGAAAAGTATTTTTTTCAACCATTTCTGACACCATGAACTTTGAAAGCCAGGAAAGACAGCAAAAGAGAATGCTGCTTTCTTCTAATTTTCTTGTAATCCAAAACATTTTCTCAGGGAGAAAACGAACACTGAATTTCAAGTGATCAAGTGAGCCTATACGTAGACGTAAAAATCCATCGCTGTTCTTATTCACAACCCATCTATCTGTTTTTCACTAAACCAAGCAAAGCATTTGAAAGATGTGGGGTTTGTCTGTAAGAGCTAAGCTGTTTTCCAAAACTAAAAATTATTACAGGAAGTTATTGATGTTGGATATTTGTCATGAGATAATTGCTAGCAAATCAGTACACTTTTTAACATGTTATTTAAGAGATGATATATTGTAACCCTAAAGTATACTACCAATACCTAATAATATTTTACAAGAGGACCAAAAGAAAAGTGTAACAGTAGAGTTTTATATTAATAAAAGTGTTTATAATGAACATAAAATGTTTACACAAACACATTTCACCAGCATTTCTAAGAAACAGTCATCTGTTACAAAAATTTTATGATGTTTTAAATATAAGTGTCTCTAATGGCTGCTAGAAATACATTACCAAATTGCAACACTATGTTCTGAAAAACATTTTTTCATTTGAAGAATAGAATAGAAAACTTCTAGACTGCTTTATAAAATAAAACACCTATCTGCCTTTCCAGGATAAACATGTAAAGAGGCATTTCCTTGTGCATTTACTTAAAATAGGTCTGAATGGAGCAGACATATTCTAATGGAAAACACCTGTGGAAGGAGTGGTGAAATTCACATCATGGTTATACTTAATGATGTGTAACTAACTTTTCTTGTGGACTCAGTATTTTCAGACCTTAGCTTTAACTATCAGGGTACTTACAGAAATTACTTTTTCCCTAGTAACCCAAGGGTGAAACAATAAATGGATTTTATCAGTTAAATAATCTCCATGACTCTTCACTTCACTGACTGCAGAGACCACAAATCTGTTATTTCACTTTCATTTGAAAGCATGACACAATAGAAGACAAACATATGCAAATATTTTGCAGGACATATACCACAAATCAAAGTTTACTAATGTCAGTTAGAAGAGAAAAACTTTATTTGCTTCAGCCAAGAATCAGCAAGGGACTTTCTAAAGAGAGCTCAGTAGAGAAAATCACCTCTATTTTTACAGCACCTCCAGTAGAATGGCAGTCAACTTGTTCAGCAAGTTTAAAATTTCTAATTTAAGACTTGCAGGCATTTAATTCCAGCTTGACCACCAGATTTCTAGGTTAGACATGAAGACTGTGTATATATATTTCAGGTTGCCCTAACAGGCCAGCTACCAGATGTATTTTACAACATTCTCCATGGGACTACAATTTTCAGCCTTTAAACTTCAGGGCAGTCTTAGAAATTTGACTTTACATATACATATAAAATGACATTCAAGCCCATCCTGGAAGTCCTGAAACAATGCAGACACTTGCATTAACACAATACAGAACATGTATACACGGCTGGTGGAGACAACTAATGCTTCATCTCCCTGCAGATAAAATACTTTAATGACTATAAATTTCTGCATGACCCCAACTTCCCTACACGGCACTTTTCATAAACCTGTGGCAGACCTAGGATCCTCAAAAATACAGATATTCGGACCAAAACACTTCTATTATATGGAAACCTGAAAATTTCTGATTTTTAATACAGTTCTGAAGCAAAAAAAATACTTCCTTCGCTGCAAAGAAGAATACACAGCTAAATCTAGAGATCAGCTCTTTGTACAAAACAACACCAGTACAAATAAGTTCCATGGAGATACAGCACACCAAACAAATGGAAATATAGACAGCAGCATAAAATAAATTAGTTTGCTTTTTCTGGAAGCAAAAAGGGAAATCTTTAATATACAATATACTGCTTTCACTTATCACTACAAAAGAGGTTGCCTAACAAATAAACAATTACCATAAAAATGAAGGTTGCTGTTACTGCCATTTGCAGTACATTTACATTAATTTAGCTTAGGATCTCCTGTTTCCTTGCTAGATTAGAAAAATCTATATGTTATTACATGTTGAGTTTTATGGAAATCACACGAATTCCGTAAGAACTGTATTGAGAATTGTATCTGTGTATAAAAACACACTAGTTCCTATTTTTCAAGACACTAGAGGTAACTCTTTGTAAGCACATTTAGAATGCTTTCAAAAGAAAAGCTAGTTGCTTCTGGGATATTTCAATGCAATTTGTTTTACACTGCATAGCATCTCCATTTCTCATGGAAACGTAAAATTTATAATTTCAAGACTGTAAGCCCCTTGTGAACAGCTTGGCATGTCCTTCCCTATTATAATGTAAATGTTTATTCATGTGGAATAATCCTTCCATAAATGGTTACCTTCATATCTGAACTTCCAAAAGTTCATATATCATCACAAATGTTGCAACAGCTGTCCATACAATCCTGTAAAGCAAATTCTCTTGTACTAGTCCTAGAGAAATAACTTAAAGAACTGTTTATTTGGCTTCAGAATTTATATTTGGCAAAACAGTTTTCTTTTTCAGAGAGAAACATACCTTAAGCTATTAAATTACATAAATTATATGAAAAGAAATAAGTAACTGGAAATAGACAACGCAGAATAAGTTATTTCGTATTCCCGGAAACAAGTCCTGAGTCCAGAAAGACCATATTGCATAGTTAGCATAGATACAACAAAAAGGATGAAAACTGCCATTATGCATGTAATTAATAAGCAATTTAATTACTTATCAAGAACTTTATTTTTTTTTTCCAAAGTACTGTACCCCACAGAAGTATTAGCCCACATGTAGCCATGGAATCACCTTGAAAGCTGTGCTTATTAAATGATGTAAGGAGAGCTCAGTGGCACTATTAATGTATTTTATAGAAAAGAATGCACCACCTTGTCGTCTGAGTTCCTTTTTACAGAATTCCTTTTCACAGAAACACAGATCTTTCAAAGGCATACTCAAGTATTTAGGTTATGCATAACACATGAGCAGAAAATGTGAGAAGTTATGGATAAAAAAGGTTTCTGTGCATTCCCTGTTCTGACAGTGATCGAGGAAATTTTGGCTATTCCTGTATAATGACAGCATTCTGACAGATATTTTTAAAAAAGCTGTAACACTAAGGAAATGATTAATGAATGTATGAATAGATTTCCAAACTGTTAGTTTAAATGACAGCGAGCTATTGTAACCCCTCTGAAGCTAGTCTATAAATTGAGGAAAACAGCTTTGTACTTCAGATGTAAAAATAATCCATATGCCTTCTAACTAGAATTTATTATGTAGAAGAATTAGGTACATTGATTTTCTAGACATACATAGAATGACTTTGGACTCTGGTATTAAATGGCCACGATGAACTTTATATACAGTCAGTGCTTCCTCAGTTGGTTCTTTCAGATGAAGTTATTAAAAGGAGTGAAGGTTATAACGTAAAAATACATCGAAGGTGACAGCTTCATTTCGGCACTTACAAATTTGAGAGCTTTCAAGTGCTCCTGTATTTTTAGCTAACAGGAAATAAGAGGATGTTATAGGTTCGTTTACTTGGTCTGTAAATTTTTGTTCAACTGCAGTAAAGGTCTCTCAGCAATACAGACCATTGCTGAATTAAAGATCATATATGCTGAGATAAATGCCTACAGCTAAGTAAAATTATTTCATAACCACCTCACCTTCTCAGCAAGAATAAAAGCTCTAGAAAGGATGCAAACTGAACGAATCTCATTCAGCATTTCCAGTTTCCACAGGTAAGAATTATGAACGTGTTCCTCTCTCTGTTAGACAGCATTAAAGGAATAAACGAAGAGCATTCTGACTTAAGGCATCACTCTGAGCTATCTATACAATGAATTTTGATTCCAAAGCAGTATTGAGGCCATTTTTTCTAAGGCTTCTCTGCACGTCAAAGTTGGAGACCACCTGGCAATTGTACCTGTCTAGAGGATGTTGCCCATGCTTCAAAAAGGAAGCCTAAAAAAACCTTGAAGGAAGAGTGATCAGCCTCTTGTAAGTAGGCTAAGACCAAAAAGTCCTGTGAAAAATAATCAAGTCTATTCCACTTTTCCCATAAATTTATGATGGAGACCTACTTATGGAGCCTTACATTTGGAAAAAAGCACCTAACCTGTGTATACTATAAGACACGGTCCATGAAGTTTTTAAATGGAAGTTGAAGTGAAGGTTTCCTTTATTAATCAACCATCCAAGAACCAGACAACAGGTAAGAAAATTCTGAACGTGCTGGAGCTTTGAGTCTGTTATTACACAATATACCTTACTGAGTCTCTGGACTAAAATACAAAAATGGAAATTGATGAAAAGTTATGACCACAGATAATCTTAAAAAGCAAACAAACAAACAAAAAAACCCCCAAAATATCCTGAACTGGAAATACGGTGGGATGGATCAGTGTGAAGCCAAAATAAATCTCAGCGAACACTTTGTTTTAGTGCAACAAGGAGGTTTTCAGCCAGTGTAAGTGTGCTAGGCTGCAACTCACATTGTGCACCTTACATATACGGAACATTACATAGACAGAACACTATGGAGAGATACTTAGACAGTTCTAAA